GAAAATTTTCCTCAGTTAAAAAAACTCAAAGAATATGCTTCTTTCAGACCTGACCTACAGATGATACTTAAATATGTTCTCTTCAAAGATAAAAGCAATAGCATCCTCCAAAACCAATGACAAATGTGGAGAATATCCCAGTAAAGCAATAACAGAAGACTAAGTCAAACAATGAACAATCCATTGATAAAATTACAGGACCAAATTACTACCTATCCATATTAATCCTGTATGTAAATGACTTAAGCCCAGCAATCAAATGTCGTAAATTAGTGGACTGGATCCAAAAACAAAACCCATCTATCTAGTGCCTACAGGAGAAATATCTCACCAACAAAGATCAATAGAAACTACATATGAATTTCAGTGTGTTTTTAAAATTTTTGTTTCTTCAAACCCTTTTTTTTTATCATTCAGTTCTTCACTGACTCATAGATCATGCAGTAGCATCACTTTATTCAAGAAGGCTTTTGATTTTCATTTCTTCAGTAACACACAAGTCGTTCAGTAGCATGTTATTTAACTTCATGGCACTGTACATTTTAATTTTTCTTCCTTATTTTGTTTCATGGCTTTTCATTTAAGGAGATGTATAGTTACTGTGTAATTGAGACTGTCATACCCAGATGTGAGGATATAATGCAGTATGCATCTTTACTTCCAGATTAAAGTTGAACTTCACTGAAGCTATTAAATATATCTTAACAGTAGGATGCTGGACTCTGTTGTCCATCTCTGCAATGATGGACTTATGACTGCTTATGGAGAACTATACTATTCTAATAATATAGGTGAAATCAATGTGTGTGTGGGGGGGGAGTATTTGGGGAGGGGGTAAGTGAAATTCCAGAGCCTATGAAACTTCATTAAACAACAACAACAATAATTGACAAACAAGAAATAATGGGAAACTCTTAGGTTGTCCTTTCCTTCAGAAACTAAAACATCATAGGCCAGGCATGTATTGCCTGTGTTACCCTCATGGGCATAGAGCTATAAATTGTCCAATTAGTATAAATTCTCACTAGAGGACTCAGGCGGTGTTGAAATGCTGCTTCCCATATTCAAATACAGAGCAGAACACAAAATAAATCTGAACATTTCAAAGAGACGCAAATTTCACTGAACCAAGGCCAGCTGAAGTATAATTTTCACAGACAGAAACTCAGAAAGAAGGAAAACATGGAAGGTAACAAACCTCATGAAGAAAAGTCTAAAGAGGGGCTCAGATGAGTTCAAACAGAATTAAACAGGCTCCCCGCCCTTCCTAATCACACCTCTCATGTGAAGGATATATATAGAAAGTTGAAAAGAACAAGGGAGGTGGGTGCAGTCCAGGAAAGTCTGGCCAGAGATGTGGGTGTCTCAATCTTCCAAACACTTGGCTGCTAGGTGGTGGGCAAATTCTGAGCTTGTCCAAGCCTGAAGTCCAAGAATTTTCTCCGTCCACAGTCATGCTGTGGGTGGATCTCAGATGGCTCTGAGCATGCTCAGGACCATGATTCCGCCAATTGCCACCATGTTGGTTGGTGGAGTCTAGATAAGTCCAGCCAGAGGCATGGGCATCTGAATCTCCCAAGTTTGTGTTCTGCCAGAGCACCAATGGCACCAGGTCCAGGGGCAGATTCTGTAGGGAATATGTGGGCCAAACCCTATGGAAATACAAGTCCTACTGGTTAGCTCAAGAGTTGGGGTGGTGATGGGCTTAGTTAGGTATGACCATGGAACCTGCCAACACTCACAGATACAGTGACTGAAAATAGACTGGGCTGGTATAGGCTTCAGTACCTGCATGTGCATCCTAAAGCAGGGTGTGAGGTGGGTCAGGCAGCAACAGTCGCTGGTTCACACAAGGCCAAGACAGAGGGTCAGGCTTAGCCAAGGAAGGGCCTAGTACCCACTGGCATGCATGAGATCTGGGTCTGGGAGTGGGCCAAGTGGTGGAACTTGGGAAACTCCCCTAGTTGGTCATAGCTCCTGCTGGTGAGCACCTAGTCCATGCCTAGGGGTCAGGCAGGCAAGGCAAGATATCTCCAACTGTTTGCAAATTTGAGGGTCGGTTTTGGAATGGGGCAGATCAGGCAGAGTCAAGCAAACCCTAGATAAGCAGCAAGTGAAGAAACCAGGCTGGAGTTAGGGTCATGCAAGGCTAGGCTGTCACACCTACCAGTTTGCATGAGCCAAGAATGAAAGCAGACTGAGCGGGGACATGTTGCAGCACCCACCAGTGAAAGTTGGGACTGGGGGCAGGCTGGGTCAGGGCAGGCTACAGCATCCAAAGGTCAAGATAGGTGAGGGACTATGCCAAGCTGGATCAGATCAACTATTGGCATGCACAAGAACTATGGCTGGGAACAGGCCTGGTTAGGGAGCAAGGGGGCACCCTCGCCGGGTTGTGGTTCCCAATGGTGAATACAAGGGCTGGAGTGGGCACTGCAATCTGGTCTGGACATGGCTGCAGTGTCCCTCAGCACAAGTGTGGACTGGGTCTGGAGTGCACCAGACTGCTAGACTCCAGCACCCACTGCTGCTTGTGAGAACCATGGTAGGTGTAGGATTGACTGAGGTCTCTGCCCCTGCTGAGTCAGGTGTGAGCTGTGTCTGGGTGTCAACCAGGCTTAGCTGGGCTGTAACACCCAACAGTAAAAGCCAGAATGGGTGAAGGCAAATCAGGAAAGGCCACTGTTCTGGCTAGAACAAGAAGTAGACCAAGTAGGGCTGGCCCATGGGCCCACCAATAGGCATGAGAGCTAGCACTGGGAGAGATTTTGATAGAGAAGCTTGGGGAACTCTATTAGGACATAGTCTTTGCAGATGAGCATAAGAACCACAATAGGGAGCAGTCCAGACCAGGCCAGCATACATTTGGCTCAGGTTGAGGGTGAACCAGGTTGGGACAGTTCATATCAACTGTTGGTGAATCCAAGGACCAGAATGGAGTGTGGGTCAGGCTAGGTTGGGTCATAACACAAGCCAGGTCATATGAGGGTTGGGACTGGGGGCCAGCTGGAATGGGCTGGGCTGTAGCCCCCACCAGCATGAGCTAGAATTTGGGGTAGGCCAGGTCCAGCCAGGCTACAGCACCCACTGGCAAATGTTGAGGTGAGGTGGGCCACGTAGACTGGGCCACTGTACACGTGAGACCCTGGCAGGGAGTAGGTAAACCTGGTGGGAAGACTGTGTGGGGCTCCCCTGCTAGACCACCACTCCCACTGGTGAGTGTGAGTTGGAATGGGGGCAGACCAGGCTATAACATCTGTTGGCCCCATGTGAGCTGAATCAGGGGAAAGCCAGGCTGAATTGAGTGTTTCCGACTGGTGCATGCATAAGCCAGAGTTGGTTGGCCTTTCCTGCAGCATCAACTGGCAGATGCTGGCGTGGGGGACAAATTCCGTCAAGCTAAACTGTGGAACCACCTGGAGAGTGCATGATCTTGGAGTGGGAGTGGGCCTAGTAGGGAAACAGTGGGCACCTCCCTCTTGGGTTGCCACCTCTACTGGTGAGCATGAGAACTAGGACTAGGACAGGCATGACTAGACAGAGAGTGATACCCACCAGCATGTGTGTGATTTGGATAATGGGGCTGGTTTGGTTGAACTAGGCTTCAATGCCCATTGACATGTATGAGAGCTGAATGAGATGTGGGACAGACTAGACCAGTCTGCTGTACATACTGGCAAGTATAAGAACAGGGCAGGGGCAGGCCTGGTGGGAATTATTGCAGGTTGCTCTGACTAGGCTGCAGCTCCCACTGGTTTGTGTGAGAGTCAAGTGTGTGATGGGCAGGATCAGGCTGGGCTGCAACACCCATTGGTTTGTGTAGACGACGGGGCTGGATACAGAGCTGACTCAGCAATTGCAACCACCAGCATGCACATAAACTGATTGGGGCAATGGACTGTGCCAGACCCTGTATTTGCAAACACACACAAGAATCAGATCTGGGATCATCTCAAATGAAGTTTCTATTTGGCTCCCCCTAACTTAATTGCTGGACTCAGAACCCCAACCATGGAGAGAATTGCAAGTTCCATGGTCTGACCGTGGAGTGCATGTGTCTGAACTAGGCCTCCTCAGTGGCTCAGATGGAGCAGTGGACTGCATATCCAGGTGCACATCGAAGATATGACAGTACATTGGAGCCTGCAGAGGACACCTGGTATCATAACAGAGGACAGAGTACAGAACAAATTGATCAATTACCCCAGCCAAATGTTGCTAGTGAAAATCGGGGCAAAGATTCTAAGGTGTACCGCATCAACCAAAATTCTGGAGAGATTTCACTGTGCTTGGAGTAGTGATATCAGCAGTAATTCAGAATCGTTGAACTAGCAAAACCTCTTGAGCAGGACTCTTAGAGCATGCCACACATAGGGGACCCTGGGGGTGGTGTTGGGTGGCTGTCCTCCATTGCAGAGTACAGAGGTATTTGGGAGGCTGAGTGTGGCTTCTCCCCTTATCTCCCCCCTTTTCCCAGATACAGGAAGGAAAAAAAAAAGAATCTGGCAATAATGGTCTCACCCACCTCCCTGTGACCCTTCACCCATATCACCCTAATCAACTACGTAAAAATCATCAAAAATAATAAAATAATTTTTAAAAAGAATACAAAGAAAAAAAGTGCATGGCAGTCTGTTCCCTTCTATTTTTTTCTGGTTCTTTCTTCAGTTAAATTTGTGTCTCTTAGAAATGTTCAGATTTATTCTGTGTTCTGTTCTGTCTGAATATGGGAAACTCTACTTCACCTGCCCCAGCCAGGGGAGCACAACATGCCCTTTGACCCCAGACCTCACAAGCCTAGATGACACAATGTCCAGACCCACCCATGCCACTCCCTGTTCTGTTACCCAATCCTCCCCAAGCTACAGGGAGACTGTGGTGCCCATCTGTCCTCTGTGTCCATCTTGACCAAGAAGAGGCTACAGCAGATGGTTCAGCCCTGGGTTTCTCAGGTTTATTCTTCTAACCCAGCTCCTTAAATACATTTTCACAGCCAGGTAATGATGCTGGCAGAGAGGTGGGTCACCCTCTTCCTGCTTGGCCTCCTGGAACTTGCTGATACAGGCCAGTGTTTTCCTGGCCGCCCCATGTGGCACTACATCTCGTCTGAGGTGGTGATTCCTAGGAAGGAGATGCACAAGGGCAAAGGTGTTACGTGGACAGGCTGGCTCTCCTACAACCTGCATTTTGGGGGCCAAAGACACATCATCCACGTGCAGAGCAAAAAACTCCTTTGGTCCAAAAATATACTAATGACAACCCAGGATGACCAAGGAGCCTTGCAGATGGACTACCCCTACATTCCTACGGACTGTTACTACATGGGCTACCTGGAGGACATTCCACTGTCTACGATCACAGTTAACACGTGCCATGGGGGCCTGGAAGGCATCATGAAACTGGATGATCTGGTCTATGAAATCAAACCCCTCCAGAATTCCCAAAGGTTTGAACATGTTGTTTCTCAGATAGTGGCTGACCGCAGTGCCACAGGCCCCACCTACAAACTGCAACACAAGAAGGATTTTGTCCCATTCTTCCATGAGGTAAATGACAGCATGACCTCTAGGATTTCTAGTTTCAACTATCTGTATCATCATGCCCAGCTTAAAGGTCAAATTCAATTTACCAATGAATTGTTCCAAGATTTTGGTAATATTTCCAAATGTGTTGAATTTGGAATAAATACATTTAGCATAGTGGACAGTTTTCTCAGAAGTGTTGCCTTTAGATACTATATTGCTATCATAACAGTATATGACAGGCAAGACCCAGTTCCTACAAATGATTTTCGGGTTCCTGGGAGTGATTTTCACCTTTATTATAGAGATTCTTTTTATGCCCCATTTAGTCTTTCTACATCCACAGTACTTAGAAAAAGTACACCACATGAATCTGAGGTTGTACCTGAGCTAAATACTGCTTGTCTCTTGACCAGCTTGGTCTTTGCTTCTGTCCGAGGCAGGCATTATTTCTTGATGGCCATAGTATGTGCACACCAACATGGAAGAATGTTAGGAATGAAATACGATGGGCCTTACTGCACGTGTCAGCGAAGGGCAACCTGCTTGATGCAGCAATTACCCGAATTGACAGATTCCTTCAGTAACTGTTCCTTTGTAAGTTTACAAGATTCTGCTCTGAATGACAGAACATTTGCCTGCTATTATTTGCCAACTATACTATACTTGAACAAAACCCTGATACAGGACCGTTGTGGAAACTCCATAGTGGATGCACAGGAGGACTGTGACTGTGGCTCCTTCAAGCAGTGTTATTCCAATGAATGTTGTCAAAACAACTGTCGGTACACCCCTGGGAGCATTTGTGATAAACAACAATGCTGCACAAATTGCACCTACTCCCCCAGCGGGACCATGTGCAGACCTGTCATGAACATATGTGACCTTCCAGAGTACTGCTCTGGGTCCTCCTACGCATGTCCGGGTAACTTTCATTTGCAAGATGGAACCCCATGCACTGAAGAAGGCTTCTGCTACAAAGGAAATTGCTCTGATCGCAATGTGCACTGCAAAGAAATCTTTGGTAGTGGTGCTATGAATGCTCCAGAGGACTGCTATGATATCAATGGTCAACGCTTCCGGTTTGGAAATTGTGGTAGATTGCCTCACAGACAATTTTACTATATTTGTGATGGAGACAACAAGCTGTGTGGAAGACTGCAGTGCACAAACATCTCCCACATTCCATATCTGCGTGAGCATGAGTCATTCCATCAGTCTGTGTATGGTTACAAAACCTGCTTTGGGTTGGATGAACACCGTGCTATGGGATTGAAGGACCGTGGACAGGTGAGAGAGGGCACTCCCTGTGGGATAAGGCGTTACTGTCTGCAACGTCAATGCAGTGCCCGGTCAGCTCTCTTTCATTATGACTGTTCACCTCAGAAGTGCAATTTTAGAGGAATGTGCAATAATAGGAAGAACTGCCATTGCCGATTTGGCTGGGAACCTCCACAGTGCCTAAAAGCTGGTGCTGGTGGCAGTTCAGACAGTGGGCCCCCTCCAAGAAGACAGCGTTTAATAAGTAGCAACCTAGAACCTGTTTTCTATTGGAGAGTGATCCTTGGTCGTCTGTATTTTGTCATTTGGGCACTGCTCTTTGGGGTAGCCACAAATGTAAGACTTATTAAGACTACAGTTGTAAAAGAAGCAGAACTTCCCAAGCCAGAAGAAGCAGAACTTCCCAAGCCAGAAGAAGAACTTCCCAAGTCAGAAGTAAAGGATACACTTCCTGAGCCAAAACCTCAAGATTAGTCCCAATGTCTAGAAATAAATATTTCATAAGTCAGAACAAAACATCAGTCAACTTCCAGACTCCTATGCAACTATGGAGACTGTAATGGGAACATCTGTGAAAAACAGTGGAAGAAAATACAAAGCTCAGAAACATACTCTTAAGTCTACAGGACACACAGGGGTCCTTTGTTACACTCTGGAGGACACAGGACATCTTGGCTTCTGTCACCAGCTCTCACTTGTGGATGCTGGTGTTCACCTGAAATAAATTTCCAAGACCTTACATTCTTGTCTCCTGCACCCTTTCATTAGCTGTCAGGAGTCCACAAGAGCCTATCTGTGGAGAGGTGGAAGTCTGGGTAAGATGTATCAGGAGAGAGTCCTGAGTGGATAGTCCCAGGATTAATGAAACTGTAAGTCCTAGGAGGACACTTTCATGACATTTTCCTAGGATAGTGTCCCCAAGCTCTGCATTTCCCTGCTCTTCTTTCCTAAACCAGAATTAACTTAGGGACGTGCGGGATTAATCCCATGCCACTGCACCATTCTGCACAGGAGTGGTTGAGCACTGGGGCAAAGGATAGGGACTCAGGCACCACCTCCTGTAATAGACAAAAGCTGTGCCAACTTGGGACCCATATTCCTCAGGGCAGCCTGCAGGCATGCTTGATTGCCACAATTGCCCTGGCCTGGGCAGTATTAGGGTGTGGGTAAAATGTTATTGTTGGGCAGTGTGAGATTCCTTTGTGCTGAAAAACTGCTACTTTGCTAGGCCAGGATGCACCTGGACTTTGGGAGGATTCCGCTTTATTGATAAATCTGTTCTTTGCTGTCCTGAAACTTTGTGAACCCAGCTGCAGTGGGGGCAAGGGCGCAATTCTTCTCTGGTCGCAGGAACAGGAGGAAGATAAGGGTGTAAGAATGGGATGAGCCATACAGATAATGGGTATGGGAACAGAACAGGCTCCCTGTGCCTGAAGGCCATAAAAATTAACATGTCTAAGGTTGTTACTTTTGATGTATTTCCCAGCCCAAAAGGGCCTATATAAGCTTCTGTCTTGGGCTCTTCCAGGTCTGATCTCCCCCACTTGGCTGGCCTGTGTGCCCCAAGTGCGGTCTGACCCCTGTATGCTGGCACAATAAACTGGTTTGCTGTTTGCATCACCAGTGAGACTCTGTTGTTCTCTAGGGGTTGACTAGCTCACACCCTGACGTCCAGGGGCTCCATCACACATACTTCCATATCTTTCTCAGAGTTATTGTCATGACTGCTCTGTGGATCCAGGGTCCTGGGAGGCCTTTCCTGTGGGGCCTGTGTCCTCTTCACACCTGGGAGCAGCATCCTGTGTCTGACATCATTAGCAGGTCATGGGAAAGGGCAAAGAAAGGCATAGTCTTCTGAACTGCTTTCAGAGAATAGACTTACCCCACAACTACCACATTGGGTAAAGTGGACAAAGGGCAAGGGTACAAAAGAGCATCCCACTAGGGGAGTCCCCGGACAGCAGAGATGTTAAGTGAAAAAAAAAACCCATAAAACTGTCTCAGGGCTTGTGTACAGCATGACCAAAAGGGGAGAGGGTTCATACAAGAGAGGCAGACGAATTCAGCATGAAATGTTATGTGATCTACTGGAAAATAGAAGACTCCTTGTTGCTGAGAGGACACCCAAGAGAGCACTGGGAGGAAAATTCTTCCTTAGCATTCATGGGAACTCATATTCTGACAAGAACAGAAGAGCAGGAAGACAATTGGACAGTGGGTGAACACTCCATCAAATCTCAAAAAGAAGGCTCCAAGAGGTTAGGGTTAGGGGTTGAGGTCAGGGTTAGGGTTAGGGTTAGAAGGTTAGAAGGTTAGAGGGTTAGAGGGTTAGAGGGTTAGGGTTAGGGGTTAGGGTTAGGGTTAGGCTTAGGCTTAGGGTTTAGGGTTTAGGCTTTAGGAGTTAGGGTTAGAGGTTTAGAGAGTTAGGGTTAGGGTTAGAGTTAGGCTGGCAGGTAGGCAGGCAGGAAGAGACAGAAAGCTGCTGGGCTCCTGGGAGGGAGTGTGCTGTGTGCTGTGCTGTGCTGTGGCTCTAGACTGCTTTTTTCCGTGCGAATGCAAACCCCAACGGCGTGTGTAAGGCTTCTTTCATGGGACTCATTTGCAACCTCTGTAAAGAGGGTCTTGAGATAGAACGCCTCTCTGAGCTGGATCTGCTTCCCTTGATCTGGCAGGAGATGCCTGGAGGAGCCTCCTGCAGTGAGTGCTATTGGCCACTTGAGGGCGCGCAAAGCTGCCCTTTGTATCCCGGGTTGGCTCAGGCCTTCTGAGTGCTAGACAGCCCAGCCCCCAGCCGCCCCAGCGTCAGGTGGGGGTCCTGGACTGTCGCTGTCCCACAGCGATGGACTTGGTTCATGGAGCCGATAATAACACGCGTGGACCCTAACTGGTGGTCAAAAGCCGAAGTTTATTAGGCACCTCAGACTTTACACACTGATAGTCTGTACTGTGTCCCTCTCTTGATTGGAATTCCTTTTGTTTTGTATATTACACCAGGTGTTCTCATTTACATGCTGTTTATACGAAAGGTAGTCATTTGGTTGTTGTCATGCAAATACTCTCCAATGAACTGCAAACCTGGGCTGGCTGATCTTCCAGGGTCACAATGTCCTCCTACACATCCCCCTTCTGTGTTTTATAAAAGTAGGCCTGAAAGTTGTAGCCGGGGGAACATGCTCTTGGAAGAGCAGAAGAATGGGGAGAAACAATGTTATATATATTATACAAAGATGACTTCACCAGGGACCACACACCCTAACTGCCTATCATCTAGCTCCTCAACATCCTTTCTTACCCAGAGGATGACCATTGGCTGCATATCAGGGATAGGGGCCGAAGATCACTCTGGCTTCTTCAAGCTGAGAAAGGGGTCGGAGAGGGGGTCACAGCAGCCAGGTATTCTCCAGGAGATGCATCTAGGGGTCCTTGGTAAAAGGTAGAAAAATAACAGCTATAATTTCTCCCGAGCTAACATGTTTTTGAATTTAACCTAAATCAGAGTTGCACAGGGACAGTGAACAGTTAACATCCATCATATGGAATAGCTGAGTATAAACTTAACATCATAGTTTCTATACAGTTAGTATTAAGAGTTGATGAAAGTTTTGGGGAGAATCTCAATTTACAATTTAAGCCTTGCCATTTATATAATTGAAGTGTGATTTTACAGATTTCTATGCATTTAGGAGAATCAAAACAGTCTTATAATTCTACCAGATCATAGAAAAGTGTTAGGTAGGTGAGCAGGGAAATCTCCAACAACTTAGTGAATGAGGAAGAATTTAACTCTATATCCTAACCTAATAAAGTCCATAAAAAGCAAATAGGGAGCCTGACCAGTAAGTACAGGCTGAGTGACTGTAGGTTAATTGGCCTTTGTTCTGACTGTTCCAAATGTTCTATATCCCTGTCTCTCTCTGTCTACCTGAAAAGCCAAATAAGAGTCCTGATCAGTACAGTATAAGTTGAATGATTATCAGTTAGCTGACCTTTGTTAGTCTCTAGTACCTAAAATAATTTTGGGGCTCACAAGCAACCCTGATGGTCGGTGTAAGAGAGGGCTGGGAGCCAAGGCTGGAGCTAGGTAAGAACTAGAGCAAGCTTCTCCTCTGAGTCCAGTCGTCTCTGAGTGCCACCCGGGGCTCCTGGCTGAAGTTCCGATGTCACCAGACCCTATCACGAGGGAACTGGGCTGCTTCAATCCCGTGTGGGAAATTCACTAGGAAAGGACTGACCTCAGAGTTCTTGGCCTCCAAGGGCACTCACCTTCCTTGTAATGCCCTTGGCAGTCGGGATATGGTCCTCCTTGATGAGGCAGGCATCCACTGCTTCTGTAGTGAAAGCACATGGGAGACCTCCGAGGGTCTCTGGGACTAGGATAGAGAGCTCCTCTTATCCTCCTGCTCCGCTTTGAGATCCCTTCCTGCTCTGTACACACAACCTCCTGTAAGAGAGTGTCAGAGTCGTCCTTGGATCCCACCACAAATTAATATGGCTTTTCTAATGTCTAAGGCAGTTAAGAATTTATTATCTTTGAATAATAAGTTACACTTAAAGTCTTCCTCAAACATCCTAAGAAGGTGGAGAATTTCTCTGCACTCCTGACCTGCAGTGGAACGAGAGGAATATTAAACCATTTTAGTTTTCAGTTCTTAGAGGCAGTTCCACTGGGGCTTCCATCTTCTCCAGGGGCAGCATTGCGTTGAAGGGAGTTGCTGCACTTCCAAGGTCAGATGAGCCATAGGGAAACCACAGTTTTGAGGATCTATCAGGAAATTCTAAGGATAAGAGCATAACCTTTCCCATAGATTATTAGTGTTCCACAGTATCAATTATTCAGTTGTATTATCAAATACATCACGAGGTCAGGGACAGTTGTGCTTGATGCACGAATCCCTTAGAACCCCTCATGTCACCTGGTATTGGGAGGGGTCTGTCCACCTCCTCCAATATTTCCTTGATGGTGATGGATCTTTCAGGAAGAGGTCGTGAAGCTGTCTTACTGCAGGCGCTTCCTCCAGTGAATGGAGTCCTGGACTTTACATTACGAGTAGGCATCCACACAGGCTGCAGCTCAGTTTCTGGGAAAATAAGCATATCCGCTTCCCACAGTTAGCAAGGTGTCAGGACCTCTACACTTGTGAGTGGCTAGGTCCGTCCATCGAACCAAAGACATCTGCGTTGGGCCTGCAAACTGCCTCCAGTAACGCAGAGCTGCTGCTCACTAGAAGGCAAAATCTGAAGAAAATTTAAGGGGAATAAGACCAAATTAATGCACGCACAGGGGTAGCATATTCCCCCCTCTGCTTTTAAAACATATTTTGTTGGACAAAGTAAATTAGATTTAGTAACAGTTTAAAATCATGTAGATACTTTTACAATTCTATCAGAAAGTTCTGGGGAGTGGCTGCAGGTTGCCATAGTCCCAAGGCAGCCTGCTCTTGTTGATAAACAAACAGCAACACATGATAACAATT